GATGAGGCGTCGGTTCTGTACGAGTCGTGCGCCAGCGGCGACGTGTCGTCGCTGACGCTGCTGCTGGAATACGGCGCCGATGCCAACGTGGCCAAGCAGAGCGGCCACCTGCCCATACACCGCGCCGCGCACAGGGGCCATCTGCAGTAAGACAAAAACACGTAACGGAACGCACTCGGCTGACGAGTTGATCATTTCTCGCCAACGTTATCGTTGGATTGCCTCCAAAATGTCACGCTGTGCCGTTGTCGGATTGCAAGTTTCTCTGCGATTTCCAGCACCGCTCAGGCGGGACACCTGCAGGTGCTGGAGCTCCTCCTCAGGAAAGGTGACGACAAACGCAGCCACCGATAGCCTGCTACTACTTCCACTACTTGTACCATTAACCATTAGTTTTCATCGTCAGAATATACTGGAAGTGATTTTGAAAATGCTTTAAGAAACTTCAAATCATAGGAATGGGGGAAAAAAGTATTTGACCTGGATTTATAAGCTTTTACACTTTATAATTGATACGGAAAGCTCTACTAATGACTACTAAAAGTACGACTCACTTATGTTGTTGTTGTTCCAGGAGCAGACGTGCTGTCTCAGGCTCAGGATGAGGCGTCGGTGCTGTACGAGTCGTGCGCCAGCGGCGACGTGTCGTCGCTGACGCTGCTGCTGGAATACGGCGCCGATGCCAACGTGGCCAAGCAGAGCGGCCACCTGCCCATACACCGCGCCGCGCACAGGGGCCATCTGCAGTAAGACAAAAACACGTAACGGAACGCACTCGGCTGACGAGTTGATCATTTCTCGCCAACGTTATCCTTGGATCGCTTCCAAAATGTCACGCTGTGCCGTCGGATTGCAAGTTTCTCTGCGATTTCCAGCCATAAAAAGATCCTGTGATTATGTCGATTATCGCCGTATCCCCATCCCATCGTACCAGATGGCAGTCCAATGCAGTGGACATCACTTGTCATTGTATTGTCGCACAGTATATTGCCTGTGTGTGTGTGTGTGTGTGTGTGTGTTGTGCAGAGCTCTGATGCTGCTGATTCCTGTAACTTCCATGGAGGACATTTACAACAGTGGAATGAGTCCATTGCATTCTGCAGCTGCTGGGGGGCATGCGCACTGCATCAAGGTGCGAGTGAGTGAGGACGCCTGCGAGAGGATTTGTGCATGTGTGCGCGCGTGAGCATGTCTTGAATGAGAGCGTGAGCGTGTGCGCGCACCTGCTGACCATGCGTTCCACCAGGCCATGTGTGCGCGCGTGAGCATGTCTTGAATGAGAGCGCGAGCGTGTGTGCACGCACCTGCTGACCATGCGTTCCACCAGGCTCTGCTGGACGCGGGTTTTGACCCCAACTACATGTTGCATCCGTGCGTGCGGCGCAGTTACGACGACGAGAGGAAGTCGGCGCTCTTCTTTGCCGTGTCCAATAACGACGTCCCGTCAGCGCGCCTCCTTCTGGAGGCCGGCGCCATGACCAACCAGGACCCCGTCAAGTGTCTGCAGGTACCACGGGGGCGGGGGGAAATGAAGAGGCTTCAGGGCGTGGACCTTCAATGTGACAGGAGAGTACATGGAGTGATACTTCAAATTAAAAGCCATGATGAGAGCTTTCCGAATCTGATTTTATTTATTTTTTGGTGGCTCTTCACTCACGTGATGAAGTCATGACCCCACAAATGTTTTTTGTGTCATTGTTGACAAGTAACAGGGGTCTCAAATTGGTTTGCAGTAAAGTGACACCTCAAATCAAAGGCCATGATGAGAGATTTACAGATTTACAATTATATTGTCAGTATCTCCTCATTTGATAAGCCGATGAGCAAAAAACGTCTTTTCCTATGGGCGGCCAGGGGGGAATCAATTGCAATTGCGTTGCTTGTCTTTTTAGGTGGCTCTACGTCTTGGCAACTACGAGTTGATCAAAACGTTGCTGCGGTACGGCGCCAACGTCAACTTTTACTCCAGAGTCAACACCACGCACTTCCCCTCGGCCCTGCAGTACGCGCTCAACGACGAGGTTCGACTCCTCGCGTCTTTACTTGGTCGGCGGCGTTGCCGGGACGAACCTGACGGGCGTCACACACAGCCCCACACACCCACACACACACACACACCCACACACACACACACACACACACACACACACACACTCATGCGCTCACTCACGCCAGTTCTGCGAGGTGATCACAGTGTCGTGGCTGAAGCATCTGTCTGGTCACTTGGTGCGGATTCTGCTGGACTACGTGGATCACGTGACCCTGTGCAGCAAACTGAAGGCGGCTGTGATGGAGCAGCAGCAGTGGGGCGACATCTGCAGGCTGCAAGGTGAACTACAACATTGACACGCGCGGCGTCATGACGTCTTCATCAAAGCCATTGCAATGAGGCTCATTTTTAGGATGCACAGGGTAGAAAAGGGGGAAAAAAAAGCTCGTTTTTGTGCATAATTGTGTTTGGTAAGAGTGTGCAGGTGCACCTAACAAAGTGCTCAAGCGTGTGCTCTTCCCCCAGAGAACGCCCGCTGCCTGCAGCATCTGTGCCGCCTC